AATAATGGCCTCCATTTTTATTTTATTTTATTTTTCTGAGGAAGATTCACCCTGAGCTAACGTCTGTTGTCAGCTTCCTCTTTGTGCTTGAGGAAGATTCACCCTGAGCTAACATCTGTGCCAGTCTTCCTCTGTTTTCTGTGTGGGTCACTACCACAGCATGGCTGCTGACAAGTGGTGTAGGTCCACACCTGTGAACCAAACCCAGGCGGCTGAAGCAGAGCATGCCGGACTTAACCACTGGCCACAGGGCCAGCCCCTGGCCTCCATTTTTCATTGTTTGTACCTCTTACTACTTCATCCCCAAACTTCTCTACCTAAGAATGTTAGCTCTGAAGAGCTGTTTGTAAGACTATTCAATCATAATCTAAAGTGACCGAAAAAGATTTAAACTTCTAATCTCTGTATGCATGCCCATTAAATAAAAGTATGAATTGAGCCTTTAATGCTTAAAGCTAGGCATACACTTTTCTTTCTTGCCGTTTATAGTCTTTGAGGAATGTTTTCCCAAATTAGATGCCTTTCATCCATATTGAAGACCTTTTGAGACAGATGATGCCCCAGATGATAATCTGCAGTGTCCTAGGGAACCCTTAACAGACTCATTATCCACACCCACTGCCTGCCTGTTCATTTCGATTTTGTACTGAGTCGACTGGAATGCCTTATTGTGCCAGAATGCAAGGAAGTGCTCAAAGACTAATGCATTTATGTAAAAAAGAACATAGGCGTCAGTCTGAAGAGGTTCCCATTGGCCAAATTTAGGACAATTTGAGCATCAAAAAGTACAATAATTGTAATGGTTTATAACAATGAATTTTTTTAAGGCCATGATAAATAAATATCAGATAAATATCTAAATAAGTAAAAGAAGGGAAGGGGGAAACATTTGTCTTTACAGAAGAATGCCAATTAATAAGTTTAGAGATTATGATAGAATTAGAAAATCACCAATTTGTAACCTCCTGTGTAATAACTGTTTCTGGCAATGATCATCAATGGATGCTCAAACCATTAGAAGAAAGATTGTTGGGAAGCAGGTTATTCACATAGTCTCAAAGTATGGCCCCACAGATTACTTATTAAGTACAAGGGGAAAGGTATTTTTATATTGGAGAACTCCAGCAGTCACCGCTTTAACCAAGTGACCAAACTTAGCATCCCCAGTAGTGGGGGCTACTTGACATTATGTCTCTCCTCATGTGAAACAAGAAGTGTATAGATTTAACTATGTACTAATATTGACAAAAACTATTTGATCTGAATCTAATCATGAAGAAACAAGGAGACAAAACCAGAATGTGAAACATTTTCCTGGTCTTGAGTCTTCACAAAAAATTAGTCATGAAAGACAAAAAAATTATGGGACTGTGTCAAAAGAGACTAAAGAGAAATAACAGCTAAATGCAGGACATTAGAACCTTGATCCTGAGTCAGGTTGGGGTAAGAAAAAGATATAAAAGACATTTAAGGACTAATTGAGAAAATTCAAAAGATACTTGGATTTGTGTTAATTTTTTTAGGTGTGATAATGATATTGTGATATCAAGTTGTACGAGAATGTCCTTGTCTTAGCAGAGGCCTGCTGAAATATTTAGAGGTGAACTTCCATGATGACTGCACTTACTTTCAAATGGTTCAGGAAAAAATGTGTACGTGAATGTGTGTGAGTTACTAAGCTGCTGTTTCTCAGCTCCAGTCTCCTGCAGTCTGTGCTGGGGCTGGGACTTTCTGCTTTGCCAGCTGACTCCGTGAGAGGCTTTACCTCTCTAGGGCTCTGGAGAGAGAAGGCCAGGCTGGAAGAAAGAACTTGGTTCTTTCTGTCTGCTTGCTAATTAGAATCCACATCCAAAGAATGAAGTTGGACCTTTACCTTATACCATATAGAAAAACTAACTCAAAATGGCTCAAAGACCTAAACTCAAGAACTAAAATTGCAAAACTCTTAGAAGAAAACATAAGGCAAAAGCTTATGACATTGGATTTGGCAGTGATTTCTTGGATACGACACCAAAGGCACAGAGAACAAAAGAAAAATAGATAAATTGGACTTTATGAAAATTAAAACATTTTGTGTATCAAACAACATTATCAACAGAGTAAAAAGGCAACCGACAGAATGGAAGAAAATATTTACAAATCATATATCTGATAAAGGATTAATATCCAGGCTATATAGAGAACTCCTAAGACTCAACAATAAAAAAACAAACAATTCAATTAGAAAATGGGCAAAGGACTTGAATAGACATTTCTCCAAAGAAAATATACAAATGGCCAATAAGCACATGAAAAGATGCTCTTAACATCACTAATCATTAGGCAAATGCAAATTAGAACCACAGTAAGATACCAATAAGATACAATAAGATACAATATCACATTCATTGGGATAGCTATTATCAAAAAAACAGAAAATAACAAGTATTGGTGAGGACGTGGAGAAATTGGAGCCCTTGTGCACTGTTGGTGAGAATATGAAATGGTGCAGCCACTATGGAAAACAGTACAGTAGTTCCTCAAAAAATTAAAAATAGAATTACTGTATGATCCAGCAATCCCACTTCTGCGTTTATATCCAAAAGAATTGAAAATGAGACTGGAACAGATCATTGCAAAACAATATTCATAACAGTAATATTCACAATAGCCAAAAAGTGGAAACAATCCATATGTCCATTGACAGATGAATGGATAAACAAAATGTGGTATATATATAAATGGAATATTATTCAGCTATAAAAAGGAATGAAATTCCAGTACATGCTACAACATGGATGAACCTTGGAAACATTATGCTGAGTGAAGTAAGCCAGTCATAAAAGGACAAATATAATTTCACTTATATGAAGTACCTAGAATAGACAAATTCTGGGAAACAGAAAGTAGAATAGAGGTTACCAGGGGCTGTGGAGAGGGAGGAATGAAGAGTTATCATTTAAGGAGCATGAAGTTCTAGTGTGGGATGGTGAAAAAGTTCTGGAAATGGATAGTGATTGCACAATATTGTGAGTGTACTTAATTCCACTGAACTGTATACTTAAAAATGGTTAAAGTGATAAATTTTGTATATTTTACCACAATAAAAAAATTAACTAGAAAAATTGTTCCATCTCACATCCTCGAGTTTTTTATCATAACATTCCAGAAGAAAATCTGAAATATTGAAAAAAAGTTAGACTGTCTATTTGCTTTTCAAAACTTTAAATTAAGTACTTAAACTTGGTACCCAAAGAAAAGAATGAATTAATTGCAGCTTAGTTCTTAATTACACTGAAGAACAATGATAAAACATTGAGTTTATCATAATTTTGGATTAAGATTAAAAAATATCCATTGTTAGGCAAGAAGAGTTTTGCTGTTACTACTGTTCACCACAACCTTTATGTTTAAATAGGATTATCAGGTTTAACCTAATTTAAAACAACACCATAACAAATGGAACAAAGAACAGGGTCTGTGGTGCACCAGATATGCATGGGGAATTGTCCTTATATTTTTTTGGACTGGAATAAATTTAGAACAGGCAAGCATACCTTTTGAATTTTTTTTTTTTTTTTTTGAGGAAGATTAGCCCTGAGCTAAACTACTGCCAGTCCTCCTCTTTTTTGCTGAGGAAGCCTGGCCCTGAGCTAACATCGTGCCCATCTTCCTCTACTTTATACATGGGACGCCTACCACAGCATGGCGTGCCAAGCGGTCCCATATCGGCACCCGGGATCCGAACCGGCGAACCCCGGGCCGCCGAGAAGCGGAACGTGGGAACTTAACCGCTGTGCCACCAGGCCGGCGCCTACCTTTTGAATTAAATAAAATCTTTCCTAGTTTTCCTCTTTGTGTTGTTTATTTTGAGATTTTTTTCTATATTGTATTTAAATACTAATAAAATTATATTTGATATTAACTTATACATAGCAAGGATAAATAATATTTTGTGGAAGGTCAATATATGCATACACAGATGCATTTTACTGAATCACAATGTAAAAGTACTTTTTATTGTGGGTCTTTGTAAACAACAATTTGAAAAACACTTTTCTAAACATTCTGCAATTTTGATTTTGATTTCCTCTTTTATCCGAGAGTTGCTTAAGAGAGTTTTCAGTTTCTTTGTTGTTCATATTTTGCTTCATTGTACTGTGGTCAAAATGTATAGTCTAGGTTATTCGATACTATTTCTTATTGGAAAAAGGGTGCTTCTCTATTGGCAGGGTGTCTGTATGTTTGTGTGTTTCTGTATTAGATCAACTGTACTAGTTTTATTATATAGAGCATTTGTATACAGTCATGCACTGCATACCTAACAACATTTCAGTCAACAATGGACCACGTGTATGACGGTGGTCCCATGGTACCATATAGCCTAGGTGTGTAGAAGACTAGACCATCTAGGTTTGTGTAAGTACACTCTAGGATATTTGCACGACAAAATCACTTAGTAATGCATTTCTCAGAATGTATCCCTGTCATTAAGCAACATATGACCATGCTTATTTTTTTAAACTTTTCAGGTTGAAATAATTTCAGACTTGCAAAAAATAGTACAAAGAATTCCTGTGTAGTACCCAAATATTAGCATTTTACTACATTTACTTTCCCATTCTCTCTTTCTCTGTTTCTGTCACTCTCTGTTCCTCTCTTTCTCTCCTCCTCTCTCTCTCTCTCTCTTCGGTGGAGAATATGCCATGGTGCAAAGACTCCATGTATTATGTCCGACTCTACACCCAAGCTTCTATATGATGAATTATCCAAGGAATGGTTCATTGGCCAGTAATTATGAGATAAAGAATAAAAAATTAGCACTCTAAATATAAATTCGAGTCGCTATGTCTCTAAGACCACCAGATTTCCCCCACCCCCAGTCACGTTACATGATACATACAACCTCATGTGTCCAGTGTTTTGCGGACACTCACTCCTGTTTCAGGTGCGATGGTTACGAGCTGTCCCTGAAATAACAAGTTCATGCTTTTTGTTTGTTTCTTTCTTTCTTCACGAAGACCTGAGGATGAGATGTTCTTAAAAAGGCTTTCTAGAGGTTACCTTGTGGGAAAAGATCCCAACGCTCCCCTTTTCTACAGAGAAGAAGGAAACAAAAAATTTCAGGAGAAGGACTATACAGGAGCCACGGTCCTGTACTCCAAGGTGAGACATTCCCAGCCCGGCAGGATGGACTCTCCACCATTTAACAATGCGCGTTTCTTCAAAAGGTAGAGCCGTGCTGCTGAATCATATAGCCGGTGGCACCTTTGTCTGTAGTTTGTAGATTGGATTTGAAAAAGAAAACTGGCAGAGTTCTGCTGTTGGTTATATTCTGTAACAAAGGGTACCTTGTATTATATGTCCTGCATTCCATCGGGAAACTTCTATTCCCATATTCCTTCAGACATCTTGTAAAATAAGCTTATTGGACCCCTTGCCCTGCCTTGCCCATTTCTGTCAGCTGTCAGTGAATTGTATGTATTTTGGTCTGAATGACTAAATGAGGTCTTAGTTCGGTGGTCCCAATTTAGAGAACAGCTAGATTTTCAGTTAGCCATAGCGTTAGCTTACAAGCAGTCTGACTTAGATTAAGGTAGAAAAGAAAATAAACTCAATTGTCACAGTCCGGCTGAACTCTATTTTGAAGATTGTCAACAAATATTTAAATATGCTAACAATCAATAAGCTAGATGGAAGGAAGAATTGAGGGTTTTAACAATCTATTGCTCTTACTGTCCTGATTCCATAGTAGGAACTGGAACAAGATCCCTGAGAGACTTCCTTTTTTTTTTTCTTTTTCCCTTGGTGAGGAAGATCGGCCCTGAGCTAACATCTGTGCCAGTCTTCCTCTACTTTATGTGGGATGCCACCACAGCATGGCTTGATGAGTGGTGCTAGGTCAGCACCCGGGATCCAAACCTGTGAACCCTGGGCCACTGAAGTGGAATGCAGGAACTTAACCACTATGCCACTGGGCCTCTGAGAGGCTTCCTTCCACAACTTTTTAGAGATAAATATGGGCTTAAAGCAAGAATGTATCGATCCCTTGCACCAGGTCTATGATCTTGTATATTAAAAAAATGAGTGTAAATTTGAAGGGTATACCTCTACTCTGAATCTTTAATAGGCCTATGCTTAAAGTTTGGAATTAGCTTTCCAAAACCTATCAGACCTAAACAACAGCTTTTATAATTGATGAAAACTCTGTTTTGTAGTGTTATGACAAAGTTTTTAGCTGAATAATGTAAGCATTAGTGATTGCTGAAGAATTAAAATCCATTAGATGTAATGATCCGTTGAAAAATGGCTTACTAGTTCTTTTTCAGAGCTAATCTCTTCAACTTTATGCATGGGTGTCATAAATGTGATCACAAAGGAGGTTGTTCGATGAAAACAAGTAAAATAAAAAGTGAAATCAGGGGCCAGCCTGGTAGCCTAGCAGTGAAGTTTGCACACTCCGCCCTAGCAGCCTGGGGTTCGCAAATTTGGATCCTGGGCACCGACCTATACACTGCTTATCAAGCCATGCTGTGGCAGGCGTCCCACTATACAGTAGAGGAAGATGGGTACAGATGTTAGCTCAGGGCTAATCCTCCTCAAAAAAAGAAAAAGTGGAATTTACAAAAAGTGAAATCAGACAAAAAATTAAGATTTGCTCTAGGAGGGAGATGAGCTCGTATTTTGGTGATTATGGTACTTTGCAATTTTCTATAAAGCTGCTATTTTCTTTTTTTAAAAAATAACATTAGTTATTTTTGTCTGATTGTAAATGTAATATATGTTTACTTGGAAAATATAAAGAAGCATAAAGAGTAAAAGAAATCTCATAACCAATGATAGGCACTGGTAACATTTTTGCTCATATCTATCCAGCTACTTTTTCTTCTGAAAATGTGTTTTTCTTTTACAAAATTGGGATAATGCTATACTTACTGTTTTGCAACGTGCTTTTTTCCCTCGACAATTTATTGTAACCATTTCTTCGTGTTATTAAATTTTCCACTAGAACATGATTTTTCATGGCTGGCGTAGTGTTCCATTACAGAGAACTATACTTGATTTAACACCTCCGGATTTGGCAGATTGCTTGCTATCATAAAGCTACAAGGAGCATCTTTCTATGTAAATATTTATGCACATCTGATTATTTCCTTAGCATAAATTCCTAGAAGGGCAATTTCTGGGTCAATTGAATGTATTTTTTTTAATGCCTTGGGGAGATGATGCTGAATTGTTGTCCAGGAAAGAACTAGTTAACATCCTTCTAGCAGAATGTGGGAATGTTCATTTCCCTATATCCTAAGTGCTACTAGTTATTATGGTTTTAATATTATTTTAGCTATTTATTTTTGAATAGGAAATGTGTTTACATAGTTAGAATTCAAAAGTATATAGTATAGTCTACTTCCTCTGTCTCCTAGCCCCTCGTTCCCCATCTGGTGCCGCTGCTGAATGTATCTTCCCAGAGGTCCTTCGGCACATATGAACAAATACAAATAATCTCCCACTCCTGCACACACATCATTCTTTTTATATAAATAACATTTTATACGTAATGTTCAGCAGTATACTCTTATCAAAACTCAATAATATCTTAAGATCATTCTTATATCAGTACATGAAGAGCTTCCTCACTCTTTTTTTATGGCTACATGGTATTCCATTATATGCATATAATAGTAATTTATTTAATTAGTGTCCTATAGATCATATTTAAGTTGTTTCCTATCTTTTCCTATTTCAAACAATTCTGTGATGAAAACCTTTGCATATATGTTATTTTGCACATATCTGTAGGATAAGTGGTTATATCTGTAGGATAAATTCCTAGAGGAAGAATTGCTGGGGCAATGGAGATATACATATATATATATAAAGATACAGATATTGCTAAATTGCCCTCCATAATCATGAGACCAATTTATACTCCCGCTGGCAACATATGAAAATGCCCATTAGCCCACTCTTTTGCCATCTCAGTGTGCTGTCACTTTCATTTTTCTTTACCAATCTGATAGGTAAAAAAATGGCATCTCAGTAGAGTTTTAATTTGCATTTTACTGATTATGAATGAGGTTGAGCATTTTTTCATATGTTTAAGAGCTATTTATATTTCCCATTAGAACTGTATGTATCGTTTGCTTATTTTCCTATTGAATTATTGGTTGTCATCTTATTGATCTGTAGGCACTGTTCATAAAATAAAGAAATGAGCCCTTTGCCTGTAATATGAGTTGCTAATATTTTTTCCAGTTCAGTGTTTGTCTTTTGATATTACTTTTATTGGTTTTTGCTGTAAAGAATTTTTTTATTTTTATGTGGTCAAATTTATTAACCTTTTATGACTTCTGGCTTTTGTGTCATAATTAGAAAGGCATTCCTAACTCCAGCCTCACTTTAGACTGTTCCTATAGTTTCTTCTAGTGTTCTTATAATTTCATTTTTTACATTAAGATTTTGATCCATTTGGAATTTATCCTAATGAAAGGTTTATCATATATAGAGAGCCAACTTTATTTTTCCTTAGTGGCCACCTACTTGTCTCAATACTTGTACTGAATAATTCTCATCTTTTCTCCAGTGATTTGAGGTGCCACCTTTATGATTATTATTAATCCTTGCCAATTTGGTGGTAGAAAATGTAGCCCTTTTCTGCTTTCCTTTTTGTACATTTGGCTATCTATGTATGAATGAGCCATTTATTTCCCGTATGTCCTTAGTGTTCTTTTGTGAATTCTTATATGCAGGATCATGCTCCTATTTTCTTTTTTACCTTCAGTATTGTTTGTGGCTGAAGCTGTGTCTGATGCTGCTTTCTTCAAAGTGCTTTGAATATTTATTTCCTCACTTGATCTTCACAGCTTTGCTCTAAGGTAGTTGAAAATGAAGCTGAAGCAGATGAAGCACAAAGAGATCCAGTAACTTTCCCAATTTCATACAGTCTTTAGTAGTAGGGTGCCTATTAGCTAAAAAAAATACTTTAAAGATGCTCGTTGTCATTTATACTTTTAACCGGTTCCTTGTTCTGCAGGGAGTATCACATTCAAGGCCTAACACTGAGGACACTTCACTGTGTTACGCCAATCGCTCTGCAGCCCTCTTCCACCTGGGCCAGTACGAAGTGAGTATCAGGATGCCTGGTGTGATGGGGGATGATCTGTGGGGTTCACAGGAGGACTAGACATTCATCTCTGCTTCTACCTTAGAACACTAAAATCGGGCCATGCTGCAGCTGGTTGAATTGGAAGCAAATTGATATCCTCCCAAACTTGTTCTTTCTTCTGATTCATTTCATTTATTGCAGGTGATTAGGTGGGGTCATGTTGGTTGACAAGAAAGAGTCATGGCACATTCCACAGGGCCATGGACTATATATCCAATGGGTCAGTGGTTCTCAGTGTCGAGGTCAGCTGAGATATGATATAATAACACTTCAAGTTCCAAGTGTCTGCAAACTATTTACTTGTTTGAGTTTTTTTAATAAGTAGAGCACGTTCAAGATTATCTCTGCAACAATACAGCTCACCCTCAATATGCATTTTGAGTGGGAAAGTGAAAGTGGCACTGAAATGCCTCAGTACACCTATGGGGCGGGGGGTAGATGAGTGGCTTTCTTCTCATCCCCTAATTGAGGTCTAAGGACAAGCTCTAAAATGCCATTTTAGTACATCCATTTCGCAATTGCACAGAAATTTAAATTATACCCTAGAGTTAACTATTTGAATAGCCACAAGTTCACGCTTATTGCCCTTTGGACCAAAAGAGAAGAGCAAGAATCTAACTCTAGACCCTAAGCAAGAAGGTCCTGGACGACCGAAGACAACGACTGGAAGAACTTGTGAACATGTAACCCTTTGTAACTTCCCTGTATTGGTTGTTTCTGTTTCCCTTCTTCTAATAATAGTGCCCATATAGTGAGCACACACTGTGTTCCAGGCTCTCTTTTCAGCACTTTAGATGTATTACCTTATTTTCATCTTTATTTCAACCGTGTGAAGTATTATCCCTGTTTTTCAGATGAGGAAACTAAGACACTGAGAAACTGTCACTTGCACAAGGTCATACAGCTCATAAGAGGCACAGTCAATATCGGAATGCACGTCTCTTTGGCTTCAAAGACTGCCCTCTTAATCACCAAACTATAGTTCTTCTATCTGTAAGACTTTTTTCCTTAAAAACAGAAGTATTTAATAAGGTAGTTAAACATATCTTCAGCATGTATTTCTAATCACTCAGTTAAAAGATCACATGGTAGAATATGATTTAAAGAAAAAGCATGATTGTAGTGGCTCCATTTTTAATAATCCCTACCTTTCCTGTAGATTTTTGTTAAGACTTTCAGTAGACATTGAAGAGTAGAGACCAAGGGTCATTTCAGGATTTCCTTTCTGTTTTCAGACCTGTCTTGAAGACATCGTCAGAGCACAGATGCATGGGTACCCAGAAAGACTGCAGCCCAAGATGATGTTACGTAAAGCAGAGTGTCTGGTGCTCCTGGGGAGGCTGCAGGAAGCAAGCCAGACCATCAGTGATCTTGAAAGTAGCTTTGCTGCCAAACCAACCCTAGCAGCTTCCCAGTTTCAGATTCTGCAGAGAACCCTCTGTCGTCTGAAAATGAAGATCCAAAAAAAGGAGAATCTCACAGAAACCGTCTCAGCAGCTCTAACCAAAGCCTTTGAGGATATGGACCTAAGGGAGGAGAACAAACAAATTTCCAGTGCGTCAGCATCTGTCAGCTTATGCACGGACCCTTTTAAAGGCCGCTATCTGATTGCCACAAAAGATATCCTCCCAGGAGAGCTCTTGGTGAAGGAGGATGCTTTCGTGAGCGTCCTTAACCCGGCAGAAGTGCTACCACTACATCTTGGCCTAGAGAGCAAGTGGGACACCAGAGTTACCAATGGGGACCTCTACTGTCACCGATGTTTGAAGCGCTCTTTGGCTCCAGTTCCCTGTGATGGATGCAGCTATGCCAAGTATTGCAGCCAAGAGTGCATGCAGCAGGCCTGGGATCTCTACCACAACATAGAGTGCTCTCTGGGGGCGCTGCTTCTCACACTGGGTGTCTTCTGCCACGTTGCCCTGAGATCAACTCTTTTAGCTAGATTTGAGGATGCTGGCGAAGTCACAAGGAAGCTTTGTGGTGACATTAGTAACAAGGACACCCGTTTACCTGAAAGCAAGAATCTGGTGCAAACCCTCAGTTATGACCTGGGAGGGGAGAGTGAGAAAAATGGCAAAACAGTTGAGACCCCAATTCCTGGGTGTGATATTAATGGAAAGTATGAAAATAATTATTATGCTGTCTGCAACCTTTTGCCCCATACTGAAAACCATAGCGCAGAGTACAAATTCCTCTGTGCTCTGAGTATTTCTGCACTGTGCAGGCAGCTCGAAGCAGCCAGTCCACAGGCCCTCATGACAGGTCTGACATCCTCTAAGCTGAAAGCAGCAATGGCTCCTGTGTTGTGTCCAGAGTCGAGTATTTGGGGTGTGGCCATGCTGAGACACATGTTACAACTGCAATGTAATGCGCAGGCGATAACTGCCATACAGCAAACAGGTAAGAGGGAAACTTGTTTTCCTGCCTTACGATATTGTTCTTGATATATAGCTAATGTTTGGGAAGAAAGAACTGTAAAGGAAAACAGTAACATTCGAACAAATCACTGGGCTAATGGGAAAACAGCTGTCTTGAATTGTCATGATTATGCCATTGAGAAGCTGTGTGACCTTAACGAATTATTTGATCCCAATCTGCCTCAGTTTTCTCATCTGTGAAATGGGTAGTTTAATCCCACCTAACTTTACAGAGTTGTGAAGAAGATGTGTTTGTGAAAATACTTTAAAGTTAAAAACTATCAATTTTTGTTGTGAAGGAAAATTGAAATAATAGTAAAACAAAACTGCAGAAAGAACAGGGTCTGTAGTTAAGGTAAAAGAATCTTAACTCACTCATGTGACTCAGCGACTCTGTCTCTACTCTTGCCAATTGACAAATTTTTCCCATTATTCTGTTTTGAATTTCCAAGAGAGGAATCTGGCCCAGCACGGCTTTTCATATAATACTACCATAAACTGTTGGCTGGCCTGTGTTTGGGCCAACCTCTGGTCAGGTGGCCAGATAATCTACGGACCATCTCTTGACACAGACAAAACTTGCCCTGCTTTCTTAAACCATATCCTCTAGATAAGCCTATTCCAGGGACATGGGGAGGTTGGATGTGCCCAGCATCGTGTGTGACATCTCCAGTATGACTGTACTGACCACAGATACTATTATTAGAAAAGAAATGGTTTCCAGTATTTCTATTGTATTATCTCTGTTTTAGCAGATAATGTCTTTTATCTCAATCAGTTCATTATACTTTTCTTTCTTTTTTTTTCTTTTGAGGAAGATTAGCCCTAAGCTAACATCTGCCTCCAATCCTCCTCTTTTTGCTGAGGAAGATTGGCCCTGAGCTAACATCCATGCCCGTCTTCCTCTACTTTGAATGTGGGATGCCTACAACAGCATGGCTTGATAAGTGATGCATAGGTCCACACCCGGGATCTGAACCAGTGAACTCCAGGCTGCTAAAGCAGAGCACGTGAATTTAACTGCTATACCACCAGGCCAGCCATTTATTTATTTATCTTTTTGTTTATTTTTTCTGAGAAAGATTCGTGCTGAGCTAACGTCTGTTGCCAGTCGTCCTCTCTCTCTTTTTTTTCTTCTCCCTTCCCAAAGGCCCAGTACATAGTTGCATATTCTAGTTGTAAGTCCTTCTAGTTCTTCTCTGTGAGCCACCACCACAGCATGGCTTCTGACAGACAAGTGGTGTGGTTCCACACCCAGAAACCGAACCCAGGCCACTGAAGCAGAGCATGCTGAACTTTAAGCACTAGGCCATCAGGGCTGGCTCTCATTATACGTTTCTCGGTTTTCTAATTAACTCTGTTGAGGAGAGGAATTAGGTATTAACTAAACCTAGGATTTATAGACAGATTAATATTAAATGTGGCTTAACTAAATTATGTGTGCTTAGCTCTTCCGCTCTTCTCACATTAGGTATTCTAGAATTTTGTCAACTTTTTGTTTGTACATTTTTATCTTTAGTTTTAATTCAGCTGCCAAGATATATGGTGTGTAGTTATTTCACTAGAGGTATCTTTGGGCAAGAGTCTCTGCCCCATCCCGAAACACATGGAACATCCAGAAATAGCACTGGCTTCATCCCGTGGTACTACAGAATCACATTGCAGCTAGGCTCCATTTTCTTCTCCGCCTTCTTTTGCTTCTTTGAGCCATTGCTACCTCTAAAATACATCTGTTGAGTATTTTTCCAGAATTATGTTTTCCCTTAGATACATTCACTGACATTTTAAAAAATATTGTTTTCATTTTGTTTTATTTTTATGAGGATAGAAAATAGTATATGGGGGCTTCCAGATTATAATGAGGGAAAGTTAGCAAGTCTTGATTCTATTTTGTCTTGCCTCTAAAATACTTTATAGAACATATGAAAAAAATACAAACGTCAGTAGCTCTGAAAACTATGGAAACTACTGTCTGGATAAGCAGTAGCAGTGACCACAAACTCGTGCTGAATCCCTGAGGCAGAATGGCAGAGCCATGTGCACAAAAGCGGGTGTTTTCTCTCCACTTTCCTCCATTGGCCTACCCTTCCGTCAAAGAACCTTAGCCTAAATGTTTTTGCTCCATGTGCATGACATTTCATTACAGTCAATTTTTGATTTGCACAGCGAGTTTTGGGTAAAATTTTTCACAAGTTGTTAAGAGTGAATTTTTGCATAGTAACAGCATGTATAGTCAAGAAGACCTGTATTTACTGTGGCTAATAAGGGCTGGAGAAAGAGACACGCAGCATAATACTGGCTACCTGGGGGGATGGAAAGAGGATTGGAGTCTCTGGCTTCATCTGTAAGGTTCTAATATTTTATGCATAATTTATTCTTCGTTATATGATGTTTTAAAAATATACAAATGGGAAAAAACACTAGAAACAAAAAAAAAATCATTCACACGTTGGTAATATTATTCTAGTAAATTTAAAATGAGTTCATACCTTTCCCATCATTCTGGGGAAAAGATATTTAAAAAAGAAAAAAACAGTTCACAGAGCAAAAGGGAGGAAGATGATGAAAATGAGTCTATAATAATAAATACAAATGGGCTAAACTCTATTAAACAAATCTTTCAGAATGGGCCCGAAAAATAAAAATCCAACTGTATTCTGTTTACAAAAGTGGCACCCATCATAAAACAACACAAAGTGTTTGGAGAGGACCTGTCAGGAATCACAAGCAAATCAAGGTATTAATGTTCATATGAAACAGTGAACTCAAGGTAAGAGATCTAGAAAAACAAAGAAGACATTTTATTTTTATAGAGGAGACTCTCCACTCTGAGATAGACCATTAGCCTTAGCTCTCATAAACATAGAGACTGGGTCTATAAAACAGAAACAGCTAAGTATACAAGAAGAAACTGGCAAAAACTCCATAGTTGTCAGAAACTTTAGTATACCAATCTGACTTAGACTAATATATTAAATATAAGGATGTAGAAGCCAAGATAACGTAATAACCTAGGGGATTCAGCAGCTACATCTAGCAGAGCTTGTGTCCTATAGACCAGGGTTCAACAAACGTTTTCTGTAAAGGGCCAGATAGTAAATATTTTGGGCCTTGCAAGCCGTATTGTCTGTTTTGCAACTGCTCAACTGCCATTGTAGCGTGTATACCTTTCATGTTGTATGAAAGCAGCCGTAGACAATATACAAACAAATGAGCATGGCTGGTTCCAGTAAAACTTTATTATGGATACTGAAAACTGAACTTTTTATAATTTTTCACATCGTGAGGATTATTCTTTTCATTTTATTTCAGCTGCTTAAAAATGTAAAAACCATGCTTAGACCACATCTGTACAGAACAGGTCGCAGGTGGGAGTTGGTCCACGGGCTGCAGTTTACAGACTCCTGAAGCAGAGAACTGGCAAATCTAATTAAGAAATCTGTTTAGGAAAAAACTCCACAAAATTAAGAATAATGAAGGGGATATAATTGCTTAAGTTTTTCCCAGAAGGAGGAAAACACTTCAAAAATCCAGCAACTGTGGAAGAAATTGGAAAAGTTATCAAAATATTTCCATAAAAACTAGCCAGACCCACCCTTTTCCATGTGAGTTCTCTAAAACTTAGGAACATATTTAGCCATGTTTTTAAAAAATAAGGAAAAAATATCTTTCAAGGAGCATTGTTTTTATACAGTAAAAATTGTTCCAAGGCCAGCCCAGTGGCATAGTGGTTAAGTTCGCATGCTCTGCTTCCGTGGCCCAGGGTTCACGGGTTTGGATCCCAGACACGTACCTATGCACCACTTATCAAGGCATGCTGTGGCAGATGTCCCACATATAAAATGGAGGAAGACGGGCACAGGCGTTAGCTCAGGGCTAATCATCCTCACCAAAAACAAAAAAAAATTGTTCCAGGGCATGGGAGAACCTGGAACCCTTTCCCACTCATTTTGCAAAGCCAAGAATAAAAATTATAGAGCAACCTCACTTGTGAATATAGTTATAGAAACCCTGAATAAATCACTGCCATATCACAACCAGCAGTTTTTAAAGGAATAATAACAAACGACCAAGTAGGGTTCCCTCCAGAAATGTAAGATTATTTTAAGTTGTGGGGATATAAAAGAAGACTTGGATAAATGCAGAGATATGCCATATTCTTAGTTGTAAAGAATGGAAACTGTAAAAATGGCAGTTTTGGGGTGGTCTGGTGGCACAGTGGTAAAAGTGTGCACGTTCCACTTCGGAGGCCCAGTGTTCACTGATTTGGATCCCGGGTATGGACATGGCATTGCTCGTCAAGCCATGCTGTGGTAGGCGTCCCACATATAAAGTAGAGGGAGATGGGCACGGATGTTAGCTCAGGGCCAGTCTTCCTCAGCAAAAAGAGGAGGATTGGCAGCAGATGTTAGCTCAGGGCTAATCTTCCTCAAAAAAAAAGGCAGTTTCCCCATATTAATCTAATCAGTCTAATGCGGTTTCAAACAAAATCACAATTGGATTTTTCTTGGAATTTGATAATGGTTCTGAAATTCATCTTGAATAAGTGGATGAGAATAGCCGTTTGTTTTAAAGAATACTAAAGGGGCTTGGTACTGTCAGATCTCTTATCAGCATTAAGCTACAATAATTAAAAGCATTGTGGTACTCATATGATAGCCTCTCAAAAGTAATAGATTCTTTCTTCAAATCATTAAAAAGTTAAATATTAAAAAATTAAACCATAAAATATCTAGAAAAAGATAAGTGAACATTTATGTAGTCTTATGGCAAGAGAATCTTTCTAAAAGTAGGTAATACCAAATTTAGGTAATTAAAAGATAGTTAGATTTAACCTATATACCAAGTATCAAAAACACTATAACCAGAAAAGAAGACAGGAATGTAGGTGAAAGAAGTGCTTGAAGGAGTGAGAACATTGGACCAAGAGGCAGCAGAGCTGAGTTCCCGTTCCACTCTCGCTCAGCATGAACTTGGTCAGGTCGCCTAACCTCTGTGGGACCAGTATTCCCATATGGATCATGAGAGGATGGGACAAACCTCTAGACCACAACAATTTCTCCCATCCCTCTGTGTTTGCCCCTTTGCGACTTGACATTGCTTTTTCTCCCATGAAGAGTGGCAGTCTCTTTGCCCTGCCCTTGAATCTGGGCCAGCCCTGTAACTTACTCTGACCAATGGAATGCAGGAGAAGTAATATGTGACTTTTGAGTCTAAGCCTTAAGAGATCTTACAGCTTCCGGCATCATGTCACCTTCTTAAAATGATGCTGTGGCCTTGTGAACCAGCCTGGGCTAGCCTCCTTGAGGACAAAAGATCATGTGCCAGATGAATTCAATCACATGAGTTCCCAGGCAAGACTGGCAGAAAAAAGTCAGCTGGGCGCGGACAAAATTGCTGGCACGCAACACTTTAAGCAAATGAAATAGTTGTTTTAGCACTCCCCACCCCCAAAACCCCATAAACAAAAATTAAAATGTGAATGAGAAAGTAAGAGAACATTTCTAGCAACTATACAACTCTTAAAATCAACTTTAAAAAATATGCTTAGTGATAAAAATGTTCTAAAACTGGATTATGATAATGGTTGCACAATTTATGTAAATTTCCTTAAAAAATCATTGAATTAGTACATTCAAAATAGGCAAATTTCACTGTAGATAAATTATATCTCAATAAAGCTGTTAAAATGTACCTAAGCCAGCACTTTATTAAAGTTGTATATAAAGAGGGTCATGTCTAACCGCTCTCTAGGAATTAAAACAAGATACCATTTTTTACCTATCAGATTGGCAGAGTTGCTTTGTTGATTTTTTTTAATTACAACCTACGTTTTAGGTTAGGGTGTAAAGAAATGGCCATGATATATTAAGTGAAAGAAGTAACTTACAAATCACTGTGCACCATGTTTCCAATTATGTTAAAAATTCCAGACGTGAAGCTAGAAAGCTGCAAGAAAATGCCCCGAAATCTTAGGCCTGGCGGATAGGATTATAGATGACTGTTATTTTTCTCTATAACTTTCAGTGTTTAAATTTTTTCTGACTACCATCTATTCCTTTTGTAGTTTTAGTTGTTTTTTTAGTAATAAATATAATTCAAATGATATGAACATTTTTTAATATGAACATTTTTAAGGCACTTGATACGTATTGCAAAATTGCCCTCCAGGAAAGTTGTACCAGTTACACGCCCACCGGCAATGTTCACTTTCATTTTTGAATTCTATCTAATTTTGTTTTAGTCTGCTCATGTTTCCAATCTTGCTATATCCCTTTTTATTATTTCTTTGGGGTTCCAACACCTCCCAATTTAGTGTTCTCATTGAATTTCATTAGCAGCTGTTTCATTAGTAGCACAGAAGAAGGATTAAAGTGTTAACTAGGATAGACTTTGACAAAAACCTATAAAAATGTATGTTACTATCTTTGCATAAATCCTATTTAATCAAAGTTCCTCAGAAACCTCTCTTTGGTGCTCATCTTAAGGGACAGAACTGGCCGCCGATGATATTCTAGACCTTGGGGTATGTGGTTCCGTCTCAGTGGGAATGGCACATTTGAGATAGATCTGGACTCATGTCATAATGAGGTTTGATGAGGTTCCACGCAGGTTTAGATCCATTCCTTGCCCTTTGCTCTCACTCTTCAACAACCAAGGACTCCACCTTCAGTTTGGGCCTTCGATCACTTGATATAGACACACATTTCTTGTATTGTGAAATATCTACCAGAATAGATATTTTCTGGAAGAATTGTAAATGCGTCTTTTTTTCGGTACTTGAATCCCATTTTAAATGCACTAAGGATATGACCAAGGTACATTTTTGGTAAAATAAATTATCACTCCCTATTTTTTTCTTTAGCTTTATGTACAAAATGTCACATATTAAATTTGGTTGATTAGGTACATACGTATTCTTACTTTCTATTGTCTCTACTAATAGATGACTAATGCAAGCTATTGAATAACTTTTTTAAATCAATACTTAATTTTTTAGAAGTAATTAGAGAGAGACTCAACTCTGACATAAATACCCCACTCAGTTCCTGGGTCTACTTCTGTTAGAGGCTAATCTATAAATAATTCACGAAGCTGATATTACTCACGGTATTGTGATCATTTTTTCTGGGAAAATTCTAGCAACTGTTCTAATAGAGATTGCCAGTTATCAGCAGTTGGGAATGCAAGTCGACTTTTAATTATGCAGAGTCTGATTATTCGGACTACAAACTGTTCATGCGCTGTACTGCTGCTTCCTGCTGCCTCCCTACCTTTTAGCATTTTCACTGCTCATTAGTGTGTATGCCAGAAGGTAGGCCTTAGACAAGGGGGGAGAAAGGAGGGGAAACTGAAATCAGATAAACACTAAGGAGAAGCTCTGATGAAAGATTTCAATACAATTTGTAGAATTGTTGACTAAAATTGAGTCATTTGGATTCCCTGTGAATTTTGTTTACTTCTTCTGTTTTTGTCTTCCATAGCAACAGATAATAGAATTGTCTGCAGAGAGACAACATTATTCCTATATTTAATGTTTTCCTTTCTAGAACATTTTCACATGATGGTTCATATTTTCTTTGTTCATTACGCTTGTACCTAGACTACATTATCCCTTTGGTGATTGGTATATTGAGATTCCTGGCGTCTTATACAGTAATGCCACAGTTATCTGAGGCTTTTTCAGTTTTCCAGAAAACTGGAAGTTTCCATTTCAGTACTAGTATCTTTCATATTTTAACTGGTTTTGTTGGAAATATGATTTCCTCATGCTTAAATCAACACTACCGAACACAATCTAAGCATTTCTGGACACCTAAGGTTCTCTCTATTGTGCGTACTCCTGAGTATGGCTGTCACAAAAACCCATGCCGGCATGCTGTCGGTTTAGGAAGCTCTGATTAAGAATGCTACAGTCGTAGTGCAACTTGAGTGGTGCTAGCGTTTTTGTTTGCCTTAAGGCTGTTATTCTTGTATAAGTTTTATGACTCCTTCTCCAGTCTATCACCTGTCTCTTTTGCAATTTTCAGAAAACTTGCCTCTTATTAGTTCTCTGTTTCTGGACTGTTGTGGGCTCAGAAACTGAAGAACCAGCCAGTTAAAACTATGGCTAAGATAAGAGCAGGAAGGCCTGCACGAGAATACGGAGAACTCTCATATGAATATAAGTGCCTGAGCTTGGTACAGAAATCGCCTCACTGCTTAGAGGCCTTTTTCTTTCTTCCTTCCTTCCTTCCTTCCTTCCTCGTTTTCAATGATGTAGTTGAATTGCTGGTTAATTGTGTTTGGGACATGAGACTGTCTCGAATAGAGCTAGTCCAGAGAGTTTTTTTCAATGAGAACTGCTGCTACTGATTTCCCATAAAGTTGGGACAAAGGGCAGAATGAACAGGTGAGCATAAGGAATATTGATTTTTAAAAATATAAGCCTGTTTAGTTTGGGATAGGAATTAGGTTACTTGTTCTATTAACCAACCAAAGACCAGTCAAACAGAAGCACTTGGACTGTAAAAACGTCTTTGGGAAATAACCTCAACAGGTAGTCTGGTTTCTATGTCCTCGTGAACATTATGCAACTGTCTATCTAGAAAGCTCCCTACTGATAATTCCTTTTTTATTATTTTTTATAAATTCTAATCTTTGGGTTTTTTTGGTATTGAGACACGGTGGTTAGGTTCCAGGATTCCGGTGGACTTTCTGTGTGCTCATTCGCTTTGCTTCCTGGGGACCAGAGTTTGCTGTGAGTCATGTTCCATCTGATTTATGTTGGATCCGGCTGTGGAGCTATGACTCAGATGGGCTGCAGGCCCAATCGCCCAGCTCATCTTCTGAGGGACGGATGGTGAGGCCTGGACTAATGTCCTGACACAGTTTTCCTTTTTCCTCTTGCATTTTCAGGATCTAAAGAGAACATCATTACCGACAGCAGGCAGGTACGCCTTGCCACAGGCATCTTCCCTGTTGTCAGCCTCCTGAACCATTCCTGCAGCCCCAACACCAGCATGTCCTTCGTTAGCACTGTCGCCACCGTTCGGGCATCACAGCACATTGGAAAAGGGCAAGAGATTCTCCACTGCTATGGTGAGCCATCCGTCCTCACTGCTGTCCACTCTTCTCCAGCAAAAAAGGACAGGGTGAGTTAGAATGAACAGACCACTGGGCAGGTGCCTTCACCTGTCCAAGGTTTGTTTCCTGGGAGAAGCAGTGCCTACTGAGGCAATTAAAAAAAAAGTCTCCATACTAGACCTTATTGTGTCTAAACTATCATGTATCTTACTGCTTAATCTCCATAAACTTCCTGTTCTGAAAATGGGCTAGGGGCAACTTTTCAGCTTCTTTTTCTTCCTGTCCCCACAACTTGGAAGCTTATTTCTGTATCTAGTTCCACAAATGTTTGAGTAAAGGATACCTGTCACATGATAAGTAATTGACCAGCCCCTCTGCTAAGCTGAAGTTCTTTAAGTAGTGCTTGACTCCTTCTTGCTTTAAATATTGGCCAGGTGTGGTCTCTCTGCAGGGCCTCACGAGAGCAGGATGGGTGTTGCTGAGAGGCAGCAGAAGCTGAGGTCTCAGTATTTCTTTGACTGCACCTGCCCAGCTTGTCAACATGGGAAACACAGAACCACGGCAGAGCCCAGGTGGGAGGCATTCTGCTGTTGCAGTTGCAGAGCGCTCATACAGGTGAATCTCTTCTCCGCTTCTCCTGGAGGTCAGTTATCCAGCCCAAAAGCCACAGAGGAAGGGAAGAGGAAACCTTCAGGGCTTATAGATGCTGAGAGCAGTGCTCTCTCTTTCCTTCCAGCCCGTCTTCCCCACACGTTGATTCCGCCTCTGCAGGAACCGCAGGGCAAGGTTGGATTTAGAAATCTTTCTCTTGCAAAGTAACAGAAAATCCAACCTAAACTGATTTAAGGGGAGAAAAAAAGAGTGAGAATTTATTTTCTCCAATAAATCACTTAAAGGTCCCAGGATGGGAGTACCTCAGACACAACTTGATCCAGGGGCTCAGATAATGTCACCAAGATCCAATTTTTCTGTCTACCTCCCTCAGCTCCATTTTCTCTGTTAGCCTCATCCTCAGACAGACTTCCCTCTTGTGGGGGCAAGATGGCTGCCAGCAGCTCCAGCCTTGTAGCCTCCTGGTCCAGGAGGATAAACTGTGTGCTTCTCTAACAGAAAAATTGGGCAAAAATTTTGTTGCATTTCATTGACCTGATACCTGTAGCTGGATTAGAGTCACATAGTTTTCCTCCAGTCATTTGAACCAGAGGAATGGACCAGATCTGAGCCACCAGCCCACTCCCTCAGCATCCAGGCACTGACTATGGTAGGGTGGGAGAGGATCCTTGGAAGAAATCAGGTTGCTATTGCCTAATGGATACTGGCATCTGAAAAAACAGCAAATGCCCACCTCAGAGATTTTCTCCTCTGCCAGAGGATATGGTAGTCTTAGGGGAACCATAAATGGAATGTAGGGCTGGTTGTGTTGGAAAGCTGAAGTTATAAATCCTAGGTCATATGTGGGGAGGCCTCACCTAGCATCTTTTCCTATTGGTTTTTTATGGCTTTTTCATAACCATTAGAAATGTGTCTGTCATCCAAAGTCCTGGCCTCAAAGAGAGATAAGAGAGGGGTTATAGAGGTAGAGAGAAATTGTGGACTATATCAGTTTAATTTTGGGTGCAAAAATTAAATTCCAGGGGCCGCCCCGTGGCCGAGTGGTTAAGTTTGCGTGCTCCACTTTGGCGGCCCAGAGTTTCGCCGGTTCAGATTCTGAGCGCCAACATGGCAGTGCTCATCAGGCCATGCTGAGGTGGCATCCCACATGCCACATCCAGAAGGATCTACAACTAGAATATACAACTATGCACTGGGGAACTTTGGGGAGAAGAAGAAGAAGAAAAAAAGATTGGCAACAAATGTTAGCTTAGGGCCAATTAAAAAAAAAAAAAAATCCCAGGGTGGGATCAGCTACTGCTTTCCTTAGATTTGCTGCTGTCAAACCGGATCTGTGGGGCTGGCCCCGTGGCCGAGTGAGTGGTTAAGTCCGCGCACTCCACTGCAGGCGGCCCAGTGTTTCGTTGGTTCTAATCCTGGGCGCAGACATGACACTGCTCATCAAACCATGCTGAGGCAGCGTCCCACATGCCACAACTAGAAGGACCCACAACGAAGAATATACAACTATGTACTGGGGGGCTTTGAGGAGAAAAAAGGAAAAAAATAAAATCTTTTTAAAAAAAACATTCCGGATCCGTCAGGCTTTGGTCCTGGTGCATTACTGGAGGGTCTGACCCATAGGGTCAGAAGCTATGGCGTGATTTATAATGTAAGCACATGCAGTGTTGCTAACCGACTCTGGTACAAGAATAAAGACAAAACTGACTTCCACAGGGCGATGAGGTGCTGAGCTGTGGCAACGCGTCATGTACAGAATCAGTCAGCAGGGATCACCTAGTTTCTCGGTTACAAGACCTTCAACAGCAGGTTGGGATAGCCCGGAAGCTTCTCAGAAATGGTAAACTAGGTGAGACTGGCTCCCTGCTTTGGTCCTCCAGCTCCTTCTCCTTTATTCATTCTGAGATCATCTTGGATTCAAGGATACTCAGTAATGATTGAAGACTTGAATTTAATTATCCCCGTGCCAGCCACAAGATGGCTATGTAGGCCAATGAGACCAAACCCTTACCAACTCAGTTTGATGTCCTTGAAAATGGGCCAGATGATTGAAGCTGTTGTTCTCTTGTGCATCAGATAGCTGGGTTAAAGTGCCCCGTGACGACTAAAGGGCTGTCTCTGCCATCCATGATCTTTGTGCATATCCAGAAGTTCAGTGTCATTTATTTTAGTTTCAGAATCTAATGACCTGATTTCCTAGAGAGGTTGTTCTGCCCTCATCAGAGCCCCATCTCTCTTCTAGAGAGCGGTGGAACAGGTGCCCAGTAGATATAAGTATCCTGCTTTTTCCAGAGAAGGAGTTGTGCAATTCATCATTCCCCTTGAAAACTGCCTGAGAGCTTGACGTTGTGGGAAGTTATTTACCCTACTTCATGAAAGCTGACCTTTAGCTTAGATTTCTGAGTTGAGAAATCATGACCGTAAGTGAAATGTAGTCATTCCACTTCAAACTGAAGTTGGGAACCCTGAGTAAATGTGGGGAGGCATCACCTAGCACCTTTTTCTATTGAAAGAAAAACATAAGAGAACAACAGCTTTATTGGAACAAACGTTGTAGGTTGGTCACAACCCAAGGAGACAAAGTAGGGTTTCCATATTCATCCCAGCCACTATAAAATTTAAGCGCTGAGTTCTCTTTACTAGGACTGGGTTTGTGTCTATAATGAGGCCACTTTCCTTTGAATTGATAGAGCGAGCCATTCAGCAGTTGTTGGGGTGCCAGCATGATGCTGAGAGCTTCCTGTCAGCGGAGCACAGCGTGGTAGGAGAAATTGAGGATGACCTGGCCCAGGCCTATGCTGCCTTAGGTATGACATGTGTCTTCATTTTCTGCTCCAAGAGACAAGTCGGCGTTGTGTGTTTGGTCCTGACCCTGGCCTCATCTGGTTGGTTATCTCTTGTCTTTCAACTGAGGCTGCCCTCCCTTCCATTTTGCTTTCCTCATTTTGAAAATGTTCATCCACAGTTGCTTGTGGTTCTTTCCTGGAACCAGATTTTTCTTTTTTTGCAGGGGACTGGCAAAAGTCAGCTGCTCATCTACAGAAGAGTCTCCGAGTGGTTGAGGTTCGCCATGGGCCATCCAGTGTTGAAATGGGCCATGAGCTCTTCAAATTGGCCCAAATATTTTTCAATGGGTAAGTCTTTCTCTTGCTTCCTAGCACTTTGCCAGGCCACATACTCTTCTGTCTTTTATTAGGCTCTTCTGTGTATTACTCTTTTTCCCTGGTGCTTTTAAGCATGTCAAAACTTCTTTATTTCCCCTTTTGGAGAGATCCTTTCCTTCTGTTTTACTGACAAACTTTAATGTTTAGAATTTCCTCCTGAGAGATTTAGGGAAAGCTCTCAGCTCTGAAGGGAGTTTCCAAGGAGGAGCTTGCCAAGCAGCCCCGCCACCGACATCAGCAGTTCTTCTCAGTCGTGGTGTCATCCACACCACCCCCTCCGCCCCCCGCCCGGTTAGCCGCCTCCCTCAGAGCTCCATTCTCAGCACGCTCAACTCCAGGGGCTCTTCCTTCTCCCTAGTCCTATGCCTTTTAAAACCATTGTTTTCAACCAGGAGTAATTTTGCCCCCCAGGGGACATTTGTCAGTGTCTGAAGGCATTTTTGATTGTTGTGACTCAGGGTGGAGGCCAGAGATGCTGCTAAACACCCTCCACTGTACAGGACAGCCCTCCACAGCTAAGAATTATCTGGGCCAAAATGTCAGTAGTGTCGAGGTTGAGAAACCCTGCTTTAAAAGTTAAAGGGAGAGAACAGTAGCACTAATGACTTGGTGCCTCATCTACTTTTGCAACTGAGATGACTCGAAGGCCCTAATTTCAGTATTTCTAGACGGGATACCTCCAGCCTTGATAAAGTGGCCACTGTTGGACATTGATGTGAGAAAGTGTTTGAAGCTCAATCCTAAGATTCTGATTGGTGGGTGTACCTCATACCTGAGGCATAGAGGCAGTCCATTTGGTGAGAGAGAAAAGGACTGCAGAGTTAGGTCATACGGGGACTCGGTTACCCTAAGGTGAAGACTCCTGAGTAAACCTTGGAGTAAATATCAGATAATGCTTTGAGATTTACCTGTTTCTCAGGATCCTGAAATCTTTATACTTTTTTCATAACTTTGTTCTCAAACTCTGCCTTGCAGTGTGTTTGTGAAAGTGTCTTATCTGCCCTTCTAGATTGTAAGATCCTTGAGGACAAAAATGATCTACTTTATGTTCTTCACAGGGTGTGAGTAGGCCCTCAGTTAACGTGTGCTTGAGTGAATCAGTGGATTCTTCCCTCCTCTGGTTCAGGTTTGCAGTACCCGAAGCTCTGAACACAATACGAAAGGCAGAAAAGGTTCTCTTGGTGCACTATGGCCCTGGGAATGACGAGATCCAGGAGCTACAAAAGATGAAATCCTGTTTATTGGACTTGCCGCCCATCCCTGGGGGACCTTCATTGTAGGATCCCAAGGGGACTTTGACCCATAGGAAAGGAGCCTGTGTGGGATGAGTTAAAGAGGTACCGTTGGGGCCAGCCCCGTGGCCAAGTGGTTAAGTTCTCTGGCTCCGCTGTGGAGGCCCAGGGTTTTGCCGGTTCGAGTCCTGGGTGAGCTCATCGGGCCACGCTGAGGCGGCATCCCACATGCCACAACTAGAAGGAACCACAACTAAAGATACACAACTGTGTACCGGGGGGCTTTGGGAGAAAAAGGAAAAATAAAATCTTTAAAAAAAAAAAAAAATTAAAAAAAGAGGTTCTGTTGCTGCTGAGCTGTCGCCAGGAAATATAGGACTTGCCTGACAGTCACAGGCCTAGGGTATGAATGGCGGGGGGACTGGAAAAGCATTGCAGTTGGAGAGATGCTCACCTGTTTTGATGAATCTTTCTTGAAATAGTTAACTGCCCTCCCATAAAAACTCCCAGTTCACAGACAAGACTTAAAATGAGTATCTGGAGAGCCTAAACCCTTTAAAAGGATTTTAGCTGATCTGCAGGCATCTGGACGTTAGCTGGGGATTTGGGCTAGATGCCACCTTACTAAATGATGATAATCTGTTTCCCTGAACGTTCCTGTGGTTTCTAGTAGTAATGAAATGTGCACCACTCCAGTGGGAACTTACACTCTTAGTAGTTGTATTGTAATTGAAAAATAATTATAAAGCAAGAAATCAGTGAGGCTCGTTACCTCTGGAGACACAGTTTCCTTTATAGTATCTAGCTTCCTTGAATCCTCTGTTAAAACTGATGGAGTGTAAATTGTAAATACAGAAGTAAATATGGGACCATTTTATTGTTGGGCAGTTTCTTCCTATGAAGGCAACTCTCAGTTTGTTTTCTACCAATTTCCCAGTCTTTATTACCTGGCTTTAATCGGTACTCTTGGCAGACTCACTGACCAAACACTAATAAAGTCAAGCTTGTAGCAGTGACTTTACAACACATGGGCCTCCTCTCTCAGTTCTGTTTATTAGCAAGCCTGAAAAGAGACTACTTTTTTCTACCAGACCTCCCCAAGCCGGCAAATGAAGTACAGATGACATAAGTACTGAGAACGGGGAAATACTTCAGACGATGCTGACGGGGTGGGCATTGCTGCTCTGGTTTCAAATTTAAGAAACAGAAGGTAGAGATGATAACTCTCTTCCGCCTGGATGTATGGCGGTAGTCTATAGCCCAACCTGGTCAGAAGTCTGGGAGAGTCTCTAGGTCTGAACCCTGGCTGCTGTATCAGCATTGGTGACCAAGTGGTTCAGATGAGTTAGTGGAAAAGCATGCCAGGGCCCTCCACCCCCGGGCCAGGCCCAAGACGTGCCAACTCACATTGAAACACTTGAATGAAGGACAGGCAGAATCTCATTTATCCTCCTTTCTACTAACTCACAGTGGCAAGGTAGTGGCCAGTGAGATTTTTTGGTAGAGCTAACTGTTTCAAGAAGAAAACCTTTGACCTGTGGACTGTTCTGTAGTTACTCTTTTCCAAACACTTGGCATGTTTCATGTTCCTAAAAAAGGCCCTGTTGTACTCTGTAAAATAGGCATACTTCCTTAAAAAGAATATGTTTGGAATTTTTGCATCAGGTCCAATTTAATGTGCGTTCAAGAGCTTTCTTTAAGTGCTCTGTAAAATATAGAATTATTTCCTGAAGTTACAAATTACCTCCCTTATCTGTCGGTGTGTTATCCTATGTTGTCAGGTGACATTAGCTTGATGGAGTGATATCCGTGCTTGCATTAAAACCTGAAGTCTAGTTTATTGTAAGAGTGTGCTCCACTGATTGTGGGGGTCGGGGATACCTTCTTGGGGGGATTAGTGGTCCCATCAACGTACGTAAGTACTGCCACAGCAGAGAATCAGTCCCTGCATTATACAATGTAGATAACTAAAAGTTCTTATAAATGGTGACTTTCTGCAGAGTTTAGATAGACCCAAACTATAATTACAGGACCAGCAAATTCTTAAAGGGCTCTTTATCCTCATATTAAACTTAACATAGCTCACAATAGGAGGAGGAACAGTGTAACAAAAGTTAAGGATAAAGCACTTTTATTGAAAAGGATACATTGAAACATTATAGGGCAGCCTTCACGTAATATATAATCTGCCATCCCTCTAGGGTTTTCTTCATCTAGGGTATTTGAACATTAAGCTAGAGCATTAAGTGCCCCTGGGGTCCAGAATTTTGCCTATGAAGAGAAGGGCCCCTGTGTCCGTGTCCCTCAGTACAAAGATGAAAGGTTGGTTAAGGTGGTAGTCCAAGGGGAAGGTGAGGTGGGCAGGCTGGGGCCCTTGGCTGGGGTTGGTTGCCCCATCCTCATTCCACTCAAAGCCAGCACGATGTTCCACTTGAGTAAGCTTGAGAGGTTTGCCTGTGATCTTGCTAAAGTCTGGTGAATCAAACAAGGATTGCAGCTCTGCAGAGATTGAGAGAGATGTCCATTAAAACCCTGCCTTAACCAACATCACAAAGAAGAATACAATCCTGGTTCTTTTTTTTCTTTTTTTGCTGAAGAAGATTCACCCTGAGCTAACATCTGTGCCAGTCCTCCTCTTTTTTGTATGTGGATCACCACCACAGCATGGCCACCAACGAGTAGTGTAGGTCTGTGCCCAGGAACCAAACCTGGGCCACCAAAGTAGAGTGTGCCAAACTTAACCACTAGGCCTTGGGGCCAGCCCCCACAATCCTGATTCTCATGAAGGCAAGCAAGCTGAGAGTAGAACACCACTTTGACCTTCTGTGAGGTACGTAGAGCTCTGGGCTAGTTAAGTGTTAAGTGACTTGCCCAAGAGCACACAGCAAGTGAGGTTAAGATTAGAAACCAGGTCAACAGAGCTCTCTTGAGAGGCAGTGTTCTAAGTTCCTGTGATAGGAGGTACGCTCATGGGGCTGAGGAATGAGTCTGATAAGGAAGGCAGTTCAATCTTCCCTGCCAGCACTTTTAGAATAAGGGATCATCTCCATGGCTTCCTACAAGGCCACGGAGCCCTGGAGTTCTGCTTAGCAAAGTGGAAGGCTCAAAGACTTGACCCCACCCACCCCAAGAGCAAAGGAGTCTCGCAGACATACTTATCTCCTGCAGGGACTTAGTGACTTCACCCTCATAACTCAGCTTCAGCTTGGGGATGGTCAGGACTGCCTGCACAGTCTTCAGCTCTCGGTCTATGTCATGAAGGAACTCGGAGGTGAGGCTCTCTTCTATCATGGTCAGGTTCTGGGTCACTTTCTGAGGCAGGAAGAAGACGATGCTCATGCTTCCGGTCAGGGGTAGCTGGGCGATCTGAAACAGGGAGGAAGCACATGGGTTAGTCCTTTGGAGCCCAAGAGCCTAGGGATAACACACATCCCAAGCTGCCTTCTCCTCTCCTGTGATGGGGCCCTGCCCGAACTTTCCCCAGCCCCTAATCTATTTCACAGTTGTCCCTCTAGGCCACTGCTTTCTGGCAGCAAGACATCTACTGGTGTTCCTTCAGAAAGCAAGCTGTTGTCTTTTCTTACCTCAGCCTAATACCAACTGACCTTATCTGTTAAAAGAATTTCCTTTTGTGGTTTCAAGGAGCTAGAAATGAATTCCAGGTCTGTGTTTTCTCCCAAGATTTGTCTGCCAACAGTTAATGAGTGTACAGAGCCCTGGACTAGAAGTGGGGGCGCTGGGCTCAGAAGCAGCAAGAAAGCAGATGCTTTGAGCAGAGGTTCTTACACTAAGGTCCATGGGACCAGTGGCGTCAGGAGTCCCAACAGCCCCTGGAATCGTATACAGAAATGCGTGCATGTGTGTACGTGGCATTTCTGAGTGTTTCAGGCATGTTGTCAGATTCCCAAAGAAAAAGGTTAAGTAAGAACTACTGACTTAGAATTAAAAGAAGTCAGGTATATGTGAAAAACTTAGAATGCCAGCAATTTGAAGTTTGTGACAGTTTTTGAAAGTTTGGCTTTGAATTCTAAAATTAAAAGTTCTCCCCCCGAGAAAAGGAATAAAGAGAGAAAGAAGGAAAGAAAAGACAAGAAAACACCAACAGTTGAGTGCCCAATCTAGAGGGGCCATTTCACACTACCTTATTAATCCTTACGACAAACGCTGTGAGGATAAATTTTGGTAACTATTCTCTTTCATTTTAAGGAGAAGAAAGGGTCCGAGAAGATATTAACTTGCTGAAAGTCAGCCAGCAGGTAAAATTTAGATAACTGTCAGATCTCAAAGGTCATTCTGTTTCCACTGCACCATCCTGCCTGTCTTTGTCCCTCCCCCCACCCACCACTCACCCTGCCCCTACAGACCTTACAGTTGAGATCAGAATCCAAGCCGTAGCGTAGAATGGCCTTCGGATCTGACATCGTGGGGACTGTCACGGTCCTCTCCTCATCCAAGTGGAAATCCTGGAGGGAAGTCTTTCTGGAGTCAAACTTTGTTACCCACTGCCCTGGAATGAAACAAATGGAGTGTCCTGAGCCCCCAGGAGACCAGAAAGCTGAAAGCCCCCAGGTGTTGAAAGTTGTCTGGCAAAAGGAATCTTAGTCGTGGGAGGGCCTGACACATCAGGGAATAGCTCTCCCTCAGAATGTGCGGTCTGGGCCACAGTACCCGTAGGACCCTCAATACCTTCCGTAGGTAAACTCAGAAGGAAATACGTTGATTTTATTGATTTGCCCAACTGTATTATGCAAGTTCTGTGACAGCCTGGAAGAAAAGTAAACTGGTGCACCCTTCCCCAGTGATGTGTCCAGGAGACGGAATCGGAGGAGGTCAGAGCTGGAAGGGACCTCAGCTAGCTTCATCCCATCACCCCTCTCAGAGCTGAAAAGGCACTGAAGCCCAGAGAGGTGAAGTGACTTGCCAGTGCTCACACAGCAACGTGAAGACCAAGCTCCCTTAGTTCAACATAGCCTTTACCCTGCTGGTCTGTAACTGCTTCTTTCACTCCCTGGAGATCACTACTTCAAGTAGGGCTTTTCTCTAGGAGTTTGGGGGTCCACTCTTGCTACTGCTTGATAGACGGTTAGAAAGCATTTTAAGGGAGGTTGCCCAAAACCCCATCCAAGGCTTATCTGCATGGGGCTGGCCTCACACTGGGCCCATGGAATGGTCTTGGCCACATCACTGCAGCCTAGAAGAATGCTGGTAGAGAACTGACACAGTTTGTGGAGTACCTGCTGTGTCCTGGGCACAGTGCTAGGGTTGATGTGAAGATGGGAGACGATGTCGACAGGGTGCCTCTGAAGTAAGTGTATCGTCCCCATGTTAGAGATGAGAAGACAGGCCCAGAGAGGCTGTGGAGCTGGTGCAGGGCTCTGCAGCCGGTGGAGGCAGAGCTGGGCTTGGCCCCTTGTCTGACTCCAGCCAGATAGCCAACAGTGCCCGCCCCAGACGGGTCCCAGAGTAGGTATGCTTTCTTCCTGTGCTGGTCTTTGTGCACAACCCTCTCACACTCTGTAGGCACTGGCATTAGAGGACGAGCAGATAGCCCTCAGGCAAGTGCATTTCTCAGGTCCTCCTCTGGCTTCGCCTCTGGGTTCATGTTGAACTAGGGCATTGACGTCCACCCGTTCCTGCCCCCTCTGATGCCCACCATCCACCTTTGGCCAAAAGAGAAGTGGAGAAGCCCTCACCCTTGAAGTAAGCCACACCGAGAAGGAGAATGCTGATTTCACTGGGCACTTCCCTTGTGGACCTAGCAATTTTCCCTTTCATCTGGGCCTGCACCCAGTTGTTAATCTCCTGAAGATCCGTGCGAGAGTTGCCAGTCAGGATCTTGGGCCTGGTCCCATATGACTTCTCCAGTGGTGCAACAAAGCTGGATTTGATGCGCAGCTCTGGGAAGAGATGGAGCGGAGTTAGTGTGCTCTGAGAGCTGAACTAGCATCCCCTCTTTGAGAGCATGCCAAGTTTAGGTTCTGGTTTACCACTCAGCAGGCCCTGACTTCCTCCTAGCGTCTCCCTGTGACTTGCTGGGACTTTGTGCCAGCTTCCCCAGGCGCTGGAGAGGGAACAACAGATTTCGTTCATTGCCCTTTCTCTTCATGTTACTGTCCTCCCCCAACCCCTCCCACTCTCTCCCTAAGCCCACTTCCTCTTTCTGATCCTCTTTGGGCTCATGGGGTACCTTCCTGCTCACCAGTGCCAGGCCTGGTATGGGCAGACATGATCTACTGTTTAGAAAGAAACCCGCCTGGATGGAGCCTAGAGCCCCATGCACCTCAGGCAGCCTGGCCAGCACACTCACTCTTCTCGAAGATGATTCGGGAAGCGCTCTTGAAGTTCTTATTGGGGGCAGTGACGGACGCAAGGAGTTCCTTGTAGGTGCCGTGGATGTCTGGGTTCTTGATCAGGTCATAGTAGAGAGCCAGGTGAATGCTGGACTCTGTCCGCTGTTCCGCCCCTGCCAGAGAGACAACGGTCTGAGCCTTGATGACTGCCCACCAGGCCAGGGCCCCGAGTCAGGCCCGCTCCCCTGACAGGGCGGGGCCACTCTGCTCGTAGTCTTGTCTGCTGATACTGGAGACATTCCAGGGGGGCAAGGAATAGAGGTTTTCCTAAAGTAGGCTGAGGGCCTCGGGCCTAGAGAGATAGAAGGGTGGGAGTGAGGGGTACAAGTCCCTGTGCTTCTCTCATCACAGGACTGGCCAGACTGTCTGTAGTTCCCTGTTTGTTACTTTCCCCCGTGAACTCAACTCTGACCTGAGTTAGGATGGAGACATGCCTACTTGTGTGCGGTTCTGTCCCCAGAACCCAGCTGAATGGCTGGCATGCAGCTGAAGCTCATTTAAGGAACAGATGAGTGTCAAAGTCACCCCGTCATTAAGTGGTCCCGAGGCCACACCCTGCATCAGCAGTGCTCAGCTCTGTCCCAGTAGCAAGGGAATGGTGTGTGCACAGCCCTCGAGCTCCCACTTGCCCACGCTGGGACCCCGCTTGGCCAGTCTCAGCGCCTCTGCGCCCCTCCCTGAGCTGCAGGGTCTCTAGGACCTTGAGAGCCGTATATGCACAGAGGCTGGGTGGCAGCTCTAGGATTCTGGGACTTTCTACATCGGAGAACTCACCCAGCGAAAGGGCAGAGAGTGCTGTGGCCACGCTGAGTGGGGACAGGAGCACATTGGCGGTGGGGCTCATGCTGGATTTCGCGCGGTACAGGTCATAGCCAAAGTTGGAGACGGCCGCTGCCAGCTTGTTCACAGGGACCTTGAGGAAAGGATCCTCCTCCTCCACTGGTGCCCCTGTGATGTCAGGGTCTGGGGAGCCCTGGATTTGGGTTCAAAGACCAGTGGAGATGAGCAGTGGATGGCTGGGCTCCGCATCGCTTTGAGCAGGATGGCCGTGCTGGCCCCTCAGGGCCGTCCTGCCTGAGTGTGGTATGTTTACCCTCACGTTGGAATGAGTTTGTGCTCCCTCAACACGCAGGAGCTCTCTGCTGGGGAGAGGCAGCCCAGAAGACAGATTAGCTGACCAAGTTTAAATACTCGTGACCTATGAGCCTCAGGCCTGTGACACATTACAAAAAAAAGGAGTGGAGTTTCCCTTCCCAACAAACCCTGCTCTTAGTCCAGACCAGGCTGTCGTCTGCTCTCAGCTCTCCACCTGGACCTTCCGTCAAAGCCCCCCTGTCTTTCATGGACCTGATCAAATATCACCTTCACCACAGACTTTCCCTGATCGCCCCAATCTGAAGGCGCCTTTTGGTTTTCTGACCTTTTTTCAGAGTCAACTATCATTTACATTTAACCACCTACCATGTGCCCTGCTCTGTGCTAGTTCTTTTCATTTGAGTTACTTCATTTCATACTTATTGATATATTTGTCTGATACCCCAAAAGACTAATGTCTCAAAAGACTGAGTTCCTTGAAGGTAAGAACTGAGTCATATTTCCATCCATTCCTAGCACCTACAGAGTAGGTGTTAAATAGATGAAAAATAACTGACTGGACACAATGGCCCTGTAAGGATTGGAATTTTTTTTTTCCTGAGGTGGATTTGCCCTGAACTAACATCTGTGTCAATCTTCCTCTATGTGTGGGTTGCCACCACAGCATGGCAAGCAACAAGTGATGTAGGTCCATGCCTGGGATCTGAACTTGGGCCACTGAGGCAGAGCGCTCTGAACTTAACCACTAGGCCATGGGGCCAGCCCCAAGAATGCTTTTTGGCTTTTGTGGGGGTTTTTTTTGGTGAGGAAGATTAACCCTGAGCTAACATCTGTTGCCAATCTTCCTCTTTTTGCTTGAGGAAGATTGTCACTGAGCTAACATCTGTGCCAATCCTCCTCTATTTTGTATGTGGGATGCCACCATAGCATGACGATGAGTGATACGTAAGTCCATACCCAGGATCCGAACCTGCGAACCCCAGGCCAAAGCGGAGTGTACCAATTTAACCACTATGCCACTGGCCTGGCCCCCAAGAATGGGTATTTTTAATCCCATTTTATAGATAAGAAAACAGAGGGCTCAGGCAAAAGTGACTTGTCTCAGGTCACAAAGCTAATAAGGGGCAGAGGCAGATTCCAAGTTGGAACTCACAACAAAGTCCAGGGGTCCAGCCAATATGCCCTGGCTGCCCTGGTCCCTCATGTAAGTCAACCCCCACTGTCACAAAGCATAGGCTTCTCTCCGAGTGTCTGCATCTGCCTTTGCAACCCCGCTGTGCTCTCTCTGGACAGAAAAGGGCTTTCCATGCTCTTGCATCTCTGCTGTGTCCTGGTCACCATTGGAACTAATATCTGAGATCACCACCCATCAGTAAGACTCACAGTCATGCAAGGAAATGAGAAAAGTTTTCGCTGAAGGGACGGCCCTGGGCTTGTTTAGAGAGCTTTTGCTTTTCACTTTTTTGGATCTTATTTTTGTCCCCACTGTGTTCTCTGAAAGGCAGGGCAAGACGTTTTCTCTCTGTTTTTCCCTGTCTAGACCTAAAGGCCTGCAACCTGGGTGCCCCGCTCCTGCCCTGCATGCTGCCTGCTGCAGAAGGGCTGGGATAGCTGACACCCCCCATGCCCCACCCGCCACCCCCTCTCCCATCCCCACTGACCTCCTCTGGGCCGCCGGCGTTGTTCTGGCAGCTGCCATGCCCAAGGAGGGCTCCAGTCCAGAGGAGTAGCATTAGGGCCTGCATCCCGGGGCCTGCAAGAGAGTGAGAGGCAGCAGGCTGCTTCCCTCACCCATCCCCTGCACGCCAGGCCACCCTGGGCAGGGAGCAGAAGGCTTAGCAGGACCAGGCACCTTCCCTCCAGCCTCCCCAAGCTGGAAGCGGACTCTCAGCCTGATGGTCTCTTCCTCTCAGCTGTGTCCTCCCTACCCCTCCACCTGCCTCGCATCCCACAGTCATATGGTAAGCTAGTGCTTTCATCCCATTGTCTGTGTCAGGGGACCCGCCTTCAAACCTAAAGCTCCAGGGCAGTGAAGATGCAGCAGTGGCGTCTCTGTGTGGAGTGTAGTCTAGCACGAATGCGTACCAAGGCTTTTCCCTGGACATACCTGACCAGCTCCTTCTATAGGACTTGGGGCAATGTCTAGTAACAGAGTGGGGGCAGAACCTGGGTGTTACATGTAGAATCACAGAGATTGGAGAATGGAGGCGTCCGGTCCAGCCCCTGCCATCCCCAAGAAGTTTTCTGACTCTGCTTGAATTCCTCTGGCCGAGAACCTGTGGCCTCAGAGGGACTCATCCTTTCTCAGGCAGTTCTGTGTCAAGAGCTGTTACTTCATGGTTAGGAGTCCTGGGTGTAGGGTCAGACAGCCTGGGTTCAAATCTCAATTCTGTGTCTTAATAGCTCTCTAAATCACAGTGTCCTCTCTTGTAAAATGGAAGCCAAACAGTTCTTGCCTACTGTGAGGAGGATTAAGTTAGGTAATGCCTTAATAGCACTTAACAGTGCCAGAGACCTGGGAGCTCTCCAATGATCCCTGAGCCAAAACGTGTCTCCCTACAATTGGAGCCCCAGGGCCCTGCTTCTCCCAGGGGAGCCAGGCCCTCTTCCCCCTACCAGCTGGAAAATAGCTCTTATACCCCTGGAGCCTTCTTTCCTTCAGGTTAAACAACCCCGCTTCTTAGTAAGACCACCCAAATGCCTTCCCCTCCCCAGCAGTGGCCTCTTCTGACAGGACTCTGGTCTGGCCCCTGGCCTACAGGGAAAAGGGAAATTGGGTCCAGGATTCTATGTTCTCCACCATCCCTTACCCTTCTGCATCCACTGCATCTATGAGCTCAGCCCCCGAGTCAGGAAGTGTATGTGGGGTGGGGAAGATGAAGGCAGCTGGGGGTGGGGGTGGGGGGTGGTTTACAGATAAGATCTTCCAAGAGGCCTCCTGGTTAGAAAGTGGGACAAGGTCTCAGCAACCAGGACATTTGGCTGGTCCGTGTTCTCCCTCCATCCGTATTGCCAAGTCAAGAATTTACAGTCTGTCTGCCCTGCCTCTCACCTCCCCTGCAACACACAGACACGCCAAGGGTCTCATGCTCTTTCATTATCCTTTTATATACCCATAAACAACCCCCGCCCCCAACACACACACACACACACACACACACTTTTCTGACTTCTCAGAGCAACAGGAAAGTTGGGAGTGCGGTGTGTGATTTTTGGCCAAAGTCCTTAGAATTAATCTGATAATCCGCTGGACAACATTGTTGAGCATGAAGGGCAACAAAAGGAAAGATTGCCTTCTGTGTTGGCCCAGCTCACAGCAGGCCTGCCGGTGGGAACCAGCCGGGCTTTGTTTCCCAACCTCCTCCTGAGCTCGTGTCTCAGAGTGAGCTCCAGGGACCCCTGTATCCTCAGCCAGCTGCTCTTCCACACAGCTGTCCCTGCCGCTCAGGGAGAAATCTTCTGTTGAGACAACAGGAAAAGCTTTCTGTAGGGCAAGTTAGAGACCTTAACACCATCCAGGCTTACAGCTGCTCTCCCCGCCAGGCTGGCCCCACCCAGAGCTGGCAGGAGCCTTCGTTGCCTGAGCCTCAGCAGGCTGGTGTATTGGAGACTGAAGATTCAGTGAGATGCTTGGGTGGCAAGGCCAGAGGAAAAAGCCCTTAGCTCTAGTCCCTCTGGCCAGCATAAGGAATTGAGATAGGAGGGAGGAGATAGGGACCATCCTGGCATAGTGTTTAAGGAAACTAAGTTCATAGTTCAAATGCACTTGAACGTGGGACCTTCTCTGTAGGAGTCCCCTACAGAGTCTGAGCCCAAGCCCCTGGTCCTGTGATCACTGTCACCACATGGGCAGACTGAGAACTGAAGATGAGGTGAGGGGCCCTGGAGGGGAAAGCCAACATGGGTCCACATCTGGATGTATAGTATTAATGTCTGCTCTTTGAATCCTCCACCTCAAGCCCTGGGGATGAGGAAGTGGAGAGATTATTGAAAGCCCCCTACAGGAGCAGTGAGAGGGCAGAGAGTAAAGGCCTATGTGGGGGGCCCCTCTGAGCACACTTAATGCCTTGTCCAAGGTGAGTGTTCTGTGGGCAGGGGCAGGCAGCCCTTGCCCGGCCAGGGGCACAGGGACAATGATGGCATCCTGTCCAAAGGGCAGTATCCATGCCAGACTCTTGTCCTACCAGGTGGGGGAGGGCATAGGAGAGAGAGAGATCCTCCGTATTGGGCCAAGGTCAGGCCTCACTTGCTGCCACATTGTCCAAATCAAGAAACACAAGGAACTGGATTTTGTGATCTTGCCTTCAAGCTGGGAGGATAAATTTGAGCCAGTACATGTGTTTCAGATTAAATCCAGTTGTGAGACAAACACCATCACTTCTGCTCCTCCCAGAACCACACAGCCTTCAAGCCACATGGCTCATGGGCAGTGCGGGGAAGGGCACCACCCTCTCCTCTGGCTCTGGGAGGAAGATTCCAAAGGGTCCCTTCCAGGCACACCCCACCCCTGGGGACTCCACCAGTCCCCAGGCAATGTCCCTTGTGAAGTCTTGGAACCTTCATGAGTTGGGCCAGGGTGCCCGTGTGTTTCATGCGCCCACACGCAAGAAGGACCACCCCTAGGAACAGAACTCCCTGGCCCCCTTCCCATCCCACCCTCAGCCTAAGGGCTGAACTCCTGCTGAATGGGCATGTGCCAGACAGTGCTGGGGTTTCTGGGAAGTCTGCAGTGTTTCTCTGGCCCAGACCTCTCCTTGCTGTGGCTTTCCCCAAGGAGCGGAAAGGGTGCAGGCAGCCATTCTCTCCAGCAGTGGCAGCTGAGCCCCCAAACCCCGTACACTGGCTGGGCTAAATAGCGGTCATTGTTTGCGAGAGGCTAAAACCCCATTGATCTCCCAGCTTTTACTGGCAGCTCATTTGACCAAAGAAAAAGGGTGGGTGCTGGATAGAAGGACCCAGCTCTCCTCCATCCCAGCCCTCTGGCAGGGCTCAACAGTCCAGCTGCCTGGCAGTGTTGAGAAGTTGCCCTGAAATCAGCACCAGTTGATTTTGAAAAAACAGCAGGGAGCTGAGTCCAAGCCAGGGCTGGGCTACAGGAAGCGCTGCCTCCCTAACTGCCCTGGTGGAAGCACAGCTCCAGGTCAACCTCCTTCCCTCAGGGCTGCAGAGCCCCTGTGAGCTGCTACCCAGACCGGAACCAGCAGCTGAGCTCTCTGCTTCCCGGCCACAGCCCCCTCCATTGTTTCCCATCCACTTCATTCAAAAGTCTTTCAGCCTGTTCTAGTGGGGCAGTGGGGTTTAGGGATAATTGGGTCCTTCCCTTCTGATCCCAAATTCCCTCTGCCCTCTCTCATCCACTCACCCTGGGGCCCAAGCTGCAAGAGCTACTGTGTCCCCACATCCTCTCCTTTGCACCCCTCTTTTCTACTCCCTGGGTTACTCCTGCTTCTCCCCAGTACCCCCAGCCCAGGGGAGCCTCTCCCGTCTTCCCCTGACCACGCACACCAGACAGGGAGCTGCTTTACCTGTGGGTGTGCTGCAGCTCCGCGCCCAGCCTAGGTCTGCACACTGAGGGGGCTCCTGCAGGCACGGGAGCTTTTTCCGCTGCCTCCCAATCCAGCGTCCAGCAGGCTTCAGATTACAGCTACTCCTTTCTTAAAGCGACCTGCACTCAATTTGGATTCTGTGATTGCATCATTGTCCGGTGTCAACTTTAACCCACTGCTGCCCTTCCGCCACACACCCGAAAGACACACACATTCACACACCCCACTCCCCTACCAGACCTTTCTTTCGGGCCCTGGCTGTCCTCACTGCCTGTGGTCCCACCCCAGGGTACACTCTGGTCAGCCTGGGTGGGAGATAGGACTGAGGAAGAGTCTTGCAGAAGGAGGCCTGGGAGGCAGGCTGGTAGAGTGGAGAAAACACTGGCCCAGTACTGGGACTCTGGGTTTTTCCTGGTCTTTGGCTCTGGCACTAACTGGGGTTTGGGGCAAGACAACTCTCATAGTTCCTCCCTTTCCTCGGCTGAAAAAGGAAGGGATGGAACTGGGATGTCTGGGCACTTTTTAGCCCTGAAATTCTGTGATTTCTGAAGATCAGAAAGGGCAGTGGGGAAAATATCTGACCAGAGGGAGAAATGATGAGACATACTACAAACACTAGTACTGAGAAGGGGCCCAGGGTGTGTCAGGCACCTACCCAGGCATGATAGAGGTCACCTGGAGAACAGAACACCCAGCCCTGCTCCCCGCGGGATGGTTAGGAACTTGCAATGTGGTTGTGAAACTAAAATACCAATGCGGGAAAGAATTAGAGAATGTAACAGAAGGTTTTCTGGGCAGATATGAGTCCTGGCCAAAAGCCCGTGGTCATGCAGAGAAGGAAAGGAGGGCGCTCTGGAATATTTAGCTTGAGGAAGAGAACATACAGGGGAACCTTATTTTATGTGAGGCTTCAGGGAGCAGAGCTGGGGCCCGTGGGTAGAGCTTTCCAGTGGGTAAGGTTCAGCTTTATATAAGGATGAGTGTCAACAGTCCGAGTTCAATCCCTTCAACAAGAAATTGAGTCCCTCTGTGCAAGGCACTCGCTAGGTCCATGGAGGAGAAGGAATACGTAGGTGAATAAGACTCAGGGCCCACCTGCCAGAAACTTACTAGCTAATAACAGGCTGATATGAGAACAGCTCGTTCCAACATAGCGCAGCACATTCTGTGGTAGCAGTCTCTATAGCAACACTGTCTAATGCAGTAGCCACTAGCCACAGTGTGGCCACTCGAAATGTGGCTAGTCTGAGTTGTGATCTACTGCAGGTGTAAAATACCCACCAGATTTTGAATACTTAGTATAAAAAAAATGTAAACTATCTCAATAATTTTTACACAGATTACATACATTGGGTTAAATAAAGTACATTATTAAGATTAATTTCACCTATTTCTTTTTTAATGTGGCTACTAGGAAATCTTAAATTACATACATGATTTGCATTGTATTTCTATTGCACAACATTGCTCTATAGAGTACTGTGGCAGCGCAGTTGGAATATATGAATCTAAGCTGAGTCTTGAAGGGTGAATAAGAATAAGAATGGGAAATGTGGGACGGGCATGACTATCCATGTGGACAAGTTAAAACTGGATCCCTGTCTCACACCATACACAAAAATTAACTCTAGGTAAATTAGAGATTTAAATGTGAAAAGTGATATCTATTTTTGCAGAACCTTGTATAATGACTTTTTATTTAAATTATTTACTTATTTTTGAATAGGTATTTTGTTCACATGATTCAAAACTCAAAAGCAACAAAAGGTATACAGTGAAGTCTTCCTCTCACTCTGATCTCCAGTCACCTGATTCTACTCCCTGGAGACAGTTGATGTTAATCTCTTTCCTATGTATCCTTTCAGAGATATTTTTAATGCTTTAAAAAGCAACTACAAACACAAATACAACAGGAAAACTGTAAATATTTTAGAAAAAAGTATAGATCTCTTTGTGATCTCTGAGTAGGAAAGATTTTTTTAGACAAGACCCCCAAAAGATATATAAGTTATAAAAGATTGATAAATTTGGCCCTAAAATTAAAAACTTGTTTTCATGAAAAGATACTATAAAGCGAGATGAAAAAATAAGCCTCACACTGGGCAAAAATATGTGTAACACAGATAACTGACGAAAAAGATTACTAACTGTAGTATAGAAAGAACTACAAATCATTAAGAAAAAGAAAAACAATTCAGAAAAATGGGCCCAGGTAATTCACAGAAGAAGGATCCTAAGTGGCCAATAAACTGATGAAAAGATGTTTTATCCTCACCAGTAATCAGGGGGATGCAGATTAAAACCAGAATTTGATGAGTGTATTTCACATTCATCGGATGGGCAAAATGTAAAACGTCTGACAATCCCAAGTGTTGGTGAGGATGTAGGCAACCAGGATCTTTTATGCCCTGCTGGTGAGAATGCAAATTGATACAGCTACTTTGAAGAACCATCTGACAACAAATGGCGAAGTTGTGCATAACCGTATGTGGCAGCCCTGGCAGTTAAAGATGGGTCAACCCAACCCACAACTCAGCAATTCTACTCCTAAGCATGTGAGCTGAAAAGACTCCACGTATGTGCACAAGGAAGTATGGACAAGAATGTTATAGCTGGGGCCGGCCCCGTGGCCGAGTGGTTAAGTTCTCCTGCTCCACTTCGGCAGCCCAGGGTTTCCCCACTTCGGATCCTGAGCTCAGACCTGAGCTCATCAGGCCATGCTAAGACAGTGTCCCACATTAGCAGAACTAGAAGAACCCACAACTAAAAATATACAACTATGTACTGGGGGGCTTTGGGGGGAAGAAGGAAAAAAAATTGGCAACAGATGTTAGTTCAGGGCCAATCTTTAAGAAAAAAAAAAAGGATGTTATACGAGTACCGTTTGTAGTGGCAAAAAAAGATGGAAACTCCCTGCATATCCATCAACAGGAGACTTGATAAAGAGTGGAAAAGTCTAAAGCTGTGAGAAATAATTCAGGGAAGCCATGTATATCAGCACAGATTTATCTCACAATATGGAGCAATACGAGTTGCAGGAGAATGCAAACAGGATGATACATTCATGCAAGGCTTAAAAACACAATACTGTGTACCACTTACAGATAAAAACTCTCATGGTGAAAGTAAAAGAAATGCATGCAAATAATAAATACCAAATTCAGGATGATGGGTATGGGGGCAGGGAAAGGACTGGGAAGGGCATGTGGGGCTGTTGCTGTGTTGAGAATATTTTTTAAGCTGGGCAGTGGCAGGCAATTCATTATACTTTTTTGTGTGTCCTAATTATTTCATAATAACTTATAAAGAAAGCAGATTTCTCTTTCCTCCAATTACCGAGAAAGGAATGTGTCCCGTCCTGCCAAAGGAGAGGGCCTCCAAGGCTGCTCCTCCAGGACTCTGCTCCTGCAGGCAGCTCCTCTCCTGCATAATCAGTGTGTCCCTCTCTGAAGGATCATTCCACAGCCTTCAGACATCCCCTATCACTCCCCTCATTAAAGACACTTCCTTTATGCCACATGCCCTACAGCTGCGCCCATTTCCCCGTTCTTCCTCACAGCCACGTGGGAAAGAGCTCTGTACTCATGTCTGCGCTGTCTTAGCTCCATCCCCTCCTCAACCCCAAACTTGCTTCTGTGCCCACCTCTCCTTTGAAACTGCCGTCGCCAAGTTCACGGGTGACCTCCATGCTGACCACCAAATGGACATCTCTGCCCTTGGCGGCAGGTAGCAGAGCAGACTCATTCTCCTTCTTGAAACCCTGACTTTCCACATCCTCTCGTTTTAATCCCACCTCACACGCTGCATCTTTTTCATCTCTTTTCTGGCTTGATCCTGGAACTTGTTTTCTTCTCCATCTCCATCTCCTCTTAAGTGATTTCTGCCAGTTCCATGACTTTAAGTGCATGTGTATGCTCCCAAATGTATACTTCCACCCCTGAGCAAGATATCCAGTTGCCTATTTGACATATGCACATGGATGCCCAATAGGTAAGATACACATATAATTTATCATCCAAACACTTTGCAGAGCAAAGGCAGGTGCTATTAATTAAGCTGGAACCACAGACATAACTCGAACTCTCCAGGCAGATTGAGGCCTATGGTCACTCTGTATTAGTGTGGCACTTCAGTCATAAGATGTTTGAAGTGGAAATCTCCAGTCAGTCCTAAAATCTGTCTCTCTCATTCCCATCTCAGTAAAACCCATTTGCTCAAAACAAAAATCCAGAAATTTGAATGATGAACCCACTGTCCTTGAGCCTTTCCCTCGTCCCCCATACAGTCTATCTAATTCTAAAATGTCTCCATGAAAAACGTATCTGAATTCTGAGCACTTCCCTTCATTTTGGCATCCAGCACCCTGGGCCAAGCCACCTACATCTCTTGCCTGCTAACAAGTCTCCCTGCTCCTGCGTCTGTCCCTCTGTCTTCTGTTCTCCACACAGCAACCAAGTGAGCCTTCTAGAGCTCACATCAGAGTGTGGCACCCCTCAATTACAAGCCTTCCACCGTGAATGAGTTATTGCCATCCGCAACAACACAGATGAATCTCACAAACATGAAGTTGAATGAAAGAAGCCAGACACGAGAGAGCACGGACTGTGTGACTCCTGCATCTAAAGTTCAAAACCAGGAAAAACTAGCCTGTTAGAAATCAGGAGAGTGAGTGCTGTGTCTTGATCTGGGTGCTGGTTGCATAGGGGTACTTAGTTCAGGAAAAAATTCATTAAGCTTAGGTAGAGTTACAGCTTCTGTACTTTGCATACTATATTTCAACACAAAATTTCAACTTGTTTATTGTCTAGACCACTCCACAACTAGATTTAAGTTCTGGAGGGTAGGGATGCTGTCTGCGTGTTCAGTGCTGCATCCCCAGAGCTTGGTGCTCTGCTGAGCACATGGGAGGTGCTTGATAAGGATTTGCGGGGCGGGCGGAGGATACAGTTCAGGCGGCCAGCCCAGTGGCAGGGAGGACCAGGGAGGCCCCGGCAGTGACTAGATCCAAACCATGACAGGAGCAGAAATGGAGAGGAGCTGAGAA